CTTGTGGATTCTTCTTTTTGTATAAATTATTATAAATTACCTTTCTAGCTTTCCGATAAGGAGATGTGCTCGGATTTACAATAATTGTATTTTTCAAAACTGTATAGATACAGATACATATATTTCATTTAAGCTTTAAATGATTGTAATAATTTATTAAAATGTAATCCTTTTTTTTTCATTGACAAAAACGCTTTTATAATTTTTTTTTAATATCTTGTACAGGGTGGTAAAACAGATACCGAGTTGTGTTAAAAAATTTATATTTTATTTTATTTGTATTTTAGACCTTTTTTTTTAAATTGGCATTTAGAATTTTCACATTTTTAATATATCATTGGATTAAATCAAATTGTACAATAAAAAAAATCAAAAATAGTTTACAGACAGTGCTTTAGGGTCAACACCTGAAACACAGAAATGTACGACGAAACTTAAAAAATTCTGAGGCTATAGTGTCAACTAGATAAAGTTATTTTTTTTTACAAATTTTAATTTTAACTTATTTTAATGCTTACGCTTTATACCGATATTGAAAAAACAACAATTGAAGTAATTAACTAGATCCCACCTATGCTAAATCAAAGTTAATCATTACACAAAATTTGAGATATAAAGTAACAACAGCGGTCATTTATTTTATTTTATTTTATTCACTGGGTTTAATACTCAAATATAATCAGTTTTTTATCGTTTAAAGAGTTAAAAATGAATCGAATAACAAAAGAAATAATTATAGTTTTGATTAGATTGATATTGCTCAAAATTCAACAGTTAAATTAAAAGCTCAAAGCTTACACAAAAAACTGTATACAGTGGGGATAGTCTTTTTATCGATTTTCTAAAATGACATCCTGTCTTTATTTGATAAAGGTAACCAAAGAATTCGAAAGGTTAACATCAATTTACATCAAGTAGTAATATCAGTTAAGAAATAAAATTGATTATTATTATGGAAGGAGTAAAAATGCGCCATTGTTTAGTCAATTTAAAGAGTTTAAGTATGATGTTATCTATTTTGTTCGTATAGATACAATTATTAATATAAAAAAGGTTAGAAAAGTACAGTTTTATTGACAAGCAATTTAGTTTTTTAATTCAACTCATTCAACTGAAACTGTAAAAAAATGATATTAACGATGAATTCGCAGAAGAATGCCTTACTTGAAAATCATTTTTAAATATAGTTAATAAATCAATGTTACTTCAGCACCTGATTTATTTAACTACATTTATTCCAAAGATTTCTAATAGTGATACAGACTTTCACATATTTCTCACAATTCTTTTAAGTAGCGCTTCAAGAAAAAGATCATTTTCCATTTTAAAATCAGTCAAAAAAGATAACCGAGGAAACTCTTGGGGTAACAATAACTCAATTTCTTTTGCAGTGCTGTCAATTGGAAAAAAATTATTAAAAAAAAGATACAGATCCTATATGCCAAATTCCAAATCTAGAAATTGAAATTCTTATATTTATTTTTTTGGCTTATTGACTTTTGATATACTTATTTATATTGAACAAAACATTTAGATACTCGACGCGCGTTTCGCCAACCAAGTTAGCATTTTCAGGAAAAGATTAAAAAAGATTATTGTGTGTTAGTACAGTGCCGAAGGTTCCAATCAAGAGTTTGAAAACATTTAGATACCTGCCTTTTCATTTCATTGTATGAAACAGCTATAATTTTTTTTAAATAACATTTTTAATATACTTGTTTGTTTGTTTTTTAACAACGAAAAGATAAAAAAGGAAGAGCTCCGATTTGAGTGTCCAGCTATGTAAATCCGGAGCTGAAGAAAATTTCACTGCTGGTATTCTATTTATAAATCGGGATTCTGAAAGCGGCAGCACATCGTAATAGCAATCACGATCATCTGGCCTAGATAAGGAAAAGTAAAACGACAATGTTTTGCAGAACGAACGTTTCGGATTTGTCGATCCCTATCAGGTACACGTAACGAAGGGTTGAAAAACCTTAAGGGAAAAAAAGGAAAATTACGAGCATGCAAGTGCTGTAATCAGACTGATTTGATGTAATGGAATTGGCATCGGACGTAATGACTTGCTATTTGTTCACAAAAGGGTGTATTGTGGTACAAAATATTAGCAATTTTGTTCCGCGTTTATCGTAATATTTTTACGACGATGCATTGTGTGGTTTTTGCAACTGCTATCAATTTATTATTGTTTACAATTGCCATTCGATTTTTAGTTACGCTTTTATCATCGCGTTCTATAATAATAATAATAATGTTTATTTCCATTGACTTTTAACAAAAGTATCGGACAATTTCAACAAGTAATACATTAGAACACCAAAATACAAACTTTAATAACAGATACGTACCAATACACAAAGTATATGACACTGAGAGATCAGCATTACTACAATCAAAGTATTCATCGATAGAATAAAAAACATTCTCATTCAAAATGAGCTTTAATTTTTGCTTAAATAAATGGACAGGCAATATCTGTCTGACAGACAAAGGCAACTTATTATATAGTTTTATTGGTAAAATCATAGGGCTATTAGCTACTTTGGCTTATGACTTGGCACCAGCAAATTATAATCTCCATTCTTCCATTCTGATCATGCAATTATTACATAGATTACTCTTTATGTAAATTATGCTATTTAATATAAGGAGAAAGGGAAATGATAACACATTTAATTTTGGGAACAGGGTTCTACAAGAGTGACTGTATTGGGTTTTTGGGTATATTTTCATAAAATAGCACAAATACATTTACTGAGAGACGTGTAACGTGACAATGATGACTCACAAATCGCAAAATAGTATTAATTGCTAAATTAATTGATTCGCAAGAAGCGCAAACTGAAGCGGGGGTGTCACCAAGCCAGAGCTCCACAAAACAAAACTAGATTAAACAACACCACACAACAGCTTAAAAGGAATATTTAGAACATTGAGAATAATGCCTGACTACTGTAGTCGAAGAAAACATCAACCCAATGGAGGTTCATGGATATGACCTAATTACAGACGAAATTCTAGAGTATCTACCAAAAAAAACCATAGTCAAACTGATCCATATTTTCATTGCACTAGACTTAAATATCTAGGGGAAGTAATAATGATTCCTAAACCCTAAAAACCGCTAAGCGAAGATTCCTCATATATGCGAGTGATATCAATACTATTTGCTTATTGCAACTGCTTTAAAATTGTTTAAAAATTATTATTCGAATTGGATTTTGGTTCCTTTATGCAACAATTTCGTGAAGTAGCTCTCACAACTGACGAATATCAAAATATCGGTGGATAGATGAATTGATTCGCAAAAAGCGTGAACTGAGGCGTCACCAAATCAGAGCTCGACAAAATAAAACTAGATTGAACAAAGCCACATAACCGCCGAAAAAAAGATATTCAGAACACTAAAAATAATGCTTTAAATGAGTACATCAATGAATTGACAATTCAAAAATCTACGAATTACTTACTATGGAAAGCCACCAAAAGACTAAAGAGACCAATCAGAAATAACGATGGAAGCTCTAGAAATAATGAGCAACGAGATAAATAAGAACGAAATTGTATAGTTTGACATGACAATTGTTTCGACCAAATCAAATGTAGTATTTACAAACTACCTGCTACTAAATATACCGAAAAATTACCATAAAACCTTAATAAATGTTGTTGAGAGAATTTAAGTTTAATAATGGAGAGGTATTTTGTTAATCTCCATAGCTTCCAATAAATTTAATTTTCTACTTTTTATGGCTGTATGTAAAATATCAAAATTGTCGTCAAAAATGTGTTTTTCTGTGTTTAAGTGTGTAGCATAATTAGAATCTGGACTATGGTTTTTAAACGCTATTTTATGTTCGTTAATGCGTTTCTTGAAGGGTCTACCTGTTTGTCCAATATAAATTTTAGAACAAGATACGCATTGTTCAGAGATTTTTATGGATAATTTGGAAAATGTCATACTAGACCACCCTTTAAGTAAAAGTTTTCTATGGTGGTATAGATACGTGGATGATGTCTTTGCTTGCTTTGTTGGAACGGACAAACAATTTAATTCACTATCGATATTGAACAGGATAACTCTATTAATTTTTTAAGCTTAGCTATTACGAAAGCGCAAAACAAATTAGATTTTTCAATATATCATAAACCTTCACACACGGACACAGTCATACATAACAGCTCAAATCACCCTTGTACACACAAAATGGCTGCATTTAAATCTTTTATATCTTAAATCTTATGTAAAATATCAAAATTGTCAAAAGTTTGTAAATATTACATTTGATAAAGACACGGTGTTGTCGAAATAATTGTCATATGAAAATATATAATTTCGTGAAAATCTGAACTTTTAGTTCTAATTTTTTTTTGTATTTACCATTTCTTCATAACTTCTGAAAACAATGAGATAATGAACTTTATCCTGTACAATATTTTGAATATTTATTTTATTGACATTATCCGATACTTATGTAAGTCTAATGGAAATGAAGATTATTACAATCATTATCAATAATAATATTAGCATTCTATAATTTAACAGTAAAATTTTTTAAACCGGATCCAAACAAAAAATGCATTAAAACATGGTCATTCTTAAATGTGCGGTAAGAGAAAATACCTCCTTCGTTTACATCCATTTTAAAAAGCACTTCAAGCACTCGTGTTATATTTTAATAAAAATCATACTGTTCGCATTGACGTATTTCTGTCAAAATGGTGGTTGCCATATATGGGGTTACCGCCTTGTTTTCGCCAAATCCGACCAAAGCGCCATCGTATGGGCGCGAGTAACAAAATTTCGATCGATTAGCCGCTAAAAATATATTATAATAATATTATATTTTAACTTGGCAATTGACGCGACCATGCATTGTATTGCTTCAAGGTTCAAGGTTTGCGCTTCTGAATAATTTTGGGTGGTGGAAGATTTACACCATCGTGTTGCCTTTATATGGTACGGGTATATAAATGCAAGTGTCATTCTCACGTAAACAAGACGTCTGATAAGTTACGGCAACAGGTTCGACATGAAAACATTAGTGCTGGTTGTTCTTGCGATCGCCGCTCTCGCCAAGGTGAGCTTTTAACTCAAAAATAAGAATTTTATTGTTATTAGAATTATTAATATTATCATTGGATATATCGTATATTAAAAAGGAATAGAACAACGAATAACAAATAAAATAATACAGGTTGTTTCATGTTTCGGGTTACCCAAATAAAAATCATGTACAGGGTGGTCGTAATTAGAGTGTTTCAACAGGAAAAGAACAGGTCTGAACTAAAAACAGCAAAATTGACTTACATGTCAAGGGCTCGATTTTTGAAAAACATTTATTAAATTTTCGGCCCTTTGAAAATTCCCCATAACTTTTTTTATTTAAGAAAATTTGGCATTTGGATAAAAAGATTATTAGACCAGTTCTCCGTTTTCTCATAACTTTCTTATTTTATATGGTAATCATAGGTGGCCATGATCTTAAAAAAAAATGCCAGTATCGAGCCCTTTCCAGCTGTAGAGATTTATCTGTCATGAATAAAGGCGCAAATATAGGGCTTTTTTTTATGTATTAGTAGACAGTGAATTATGAAAGTATGAAAAGTATGATACGATAACGTGTCAAACCGAATAGACAGCCATTGAACTTAATTTCAATACATATGCAGATACAGATTAAATTCTTATCGCTGAAACACAGAAAACCCTCATGCTGCAGTGTATCAAAATGGCTTTGGAATCAATGTATGGATAGGAATTTTCCTAGGCAGACTTGTGGGACTTTATTTTTTTATATAAAAAAGGGAGATTAACAGATCTTATATATAAAGAAAAAGTTTTCCCAAGCAAAGCAGAGTTAGAGGAAGCCTCTCGAGAAGTGTCTGCCATCAATCTTATAGTTTAGTGTATTGAAAAGATTTGTATACTAATATTTATTTTGTTGTTCTAATGTTATTTTGTTTCGTTAAAATAAAATTAGACTGTTTTCTAAATAATCACAAATATTAAAATTAAATATTAAAAATGAAAATTAAAATATTAAATGGTTCTAAGGTTTCGTGTTTCTCACTTAAATTATTTTAAATTGTCCTTGTCTTCATTAAATTATTTTAAACGTTTCTATGTGAAGCCTTTTTGAACGTATTATGCACGGCCTACTAATATATACACAAAAAATACCCTACATGGCTGATAACACGGAGAAATGTAGAAAAAATTCGACTACCTCGCTGCATTTGCCTTAAAAAATACATTCATGTTGTTATTTACGAATACAAAAGTTCCATAAATACAAAAGTTGCACAGAAGCGAAATTTGAAAAATGCCTTATAACTCGTTTGGTAGCGGTTTGAACAATTAACTGTTTCTGAAAAATCGATCTGTTGACATGTAAGTCGATTTTGCTGTTCAAAAATAGACTTTTCCGCTTAAAACACTCCAATTACGACCACCCTGTACACTTCAAAAATGGTCAACACTTTTTGCAAAATTAAGGGCCAATTATGCTTCAACTGGATTAAAATTTTGAAGTCAGCGAATGGTATTGTCAAAGAGATTTTTGCAGTTTTTTTTTTAATTTACTTTAAATATAAGGGCAACTTTTTTGGCTCTCGAGTTGCTAACACGAACTAAAAAGTATTTTTCTGATTTATTTTTGGTACCACTTGATTGACTTCGTTTTAAACAACTCGCACTAAAGAAAATGATAAAAATGGTGACCACCATCTACGACGTAAGGGTTTTCGCAATCTGTATGAAAGTCGTTTCCTTTAAAAATATTTAACACTTAAAAACCAGCAGTTTTATAAGAAGTTTTTGTCTCTGTTTTTTGAAATACTCTGCATAAAAAAACAACTAATTGAACGCGTAGGATTGGTGCATATTTTTTTTATTTCGTTTCGATATTTAATTGTTTCCGCTTCAAAGGTTCAAATTACGCGAAGATTTAAGTTTTTATATTATATTTTATGGGTGAATTGTTCTCCGCCTTTATCTCATTATTCTATGCATACTAAACTGAATGGTTGAATATCGCGTGAACAATTTCCTGTTAAACGTATGACAGTTGCAAATTGGAGTTCCATTGTCAACCGGATAGAAATATTTCTTGCTAGTTTCTATTGATTTCGCATAGATTAAGACGGATTTTCTGTGAGCGTTCAATTATATGGGGCAGTTGTTTATGAAACTGCTGCACGCGATGTACATAGTTATTAATTTACAGGGTTTCTACTATATAAATATGCATTCCTTTGAAAGTTTTGAAGAAAACAAATTATGTACCTTGTGCCTCTTAAGCATTATTGAGTCGCCTCTAAAGAATTTTCGGAACTGGGAGGAATCTAAGGTAAATCAGCACGAAAAATAAGAATATTAGGAGCTCTTAGAGACTTACGGGATACCCTATTTAATGGTAATAGTATATTATGCAACAAGTGCGGTAAACGGCATTTGACTATCGAGTTCATTTGACACGAGCTGAGCGAACGAGTTAGTTTTTGCATACATTTTCGCAAAAAAACGAATATATTCACTGACATGACTGTCAGAATTGACAAACGTCAATTCAAAACTGTAGAAGTTAAAAGGAAAACTAAAACAAACTCTTACGGACTTTTAAAAGAATATTTTTATATTTAAATTCATATCTCAAATTATTATTATAAATAATTGGTATATGTTACGTTTTGTTGCTGAAATACTGGACATTATTATTTTTTGCACACAGAGTGTCTTGATAATTGTACAATATTTCATGTTTTTTCTGAAGATAACCAATAATAAAATTTTATTTTTATTATCGTTTCTTCTGCATATTGGGACGTAGGGGCGACACCCGCGTGTCTTTCCGAGGATTATGACTCTTTGTACGACCCTGTATTATATTATTGGATGAAAAAAAAAAAGAATTCCACAATTATTTTTACGTGAGAAAGGAGTAAAAAAAGGTGCTTGGTATTCAGTGTATGTATTTTAAAACAGTTCTAATAAGGTAAAGAGGATCAAGTGGGGGCTAGTAAATTTATTCTACAATGCGTTTTGCCACGCCTCGCCAGGTATATAAACAAAATGGTTTCCTTAGAAACGTTTACTAAGGCGTTTACATATATTTACCAAAAACATTCATCCACGTATACACAAAATTTGTAAACATTAAGTTTGGGTAATTATAATAATAATATAATATAATTAAAAACCCATATTAGGTACCATTTTTACAACGCCAAGTAATTAGGTTCAAGATAAGTTTAATAACGGAGATTGGGCTTCAGGCAAATTTTGATTAAAGAACGAAATTATGATTAAATAAACTGAATTTTTGGGATCACGCTTTTCAATGAATTGAATTGTTTATATATTCATATCATTACAAAAAAGTTGATTTTGTTTGTTTTTTATTTATTTTATTCAAAATTTCTTTAAAAAATTCTAGTCTTTAAAGCTATCTTGGTATCAGTATAAGAACGTCTTCATTAAGCTTCTTGTAATGATACTACATTCCAAATTCTTCTTGCCCATTAATATTAACACAGATTTGACTATATTATTGGAATTAAACATTTGGTTTTTTAAAAACACCATTCTAGATTTTAATTGTCACCAGGTATCGGCTGCTAACATTCAATTATTTAAAAAAATGTTATCCTTAAATTTGAATCAATCGCCCTCCGAAATATTTTACATTTTTTAACACCCCCTATTGTTCACACAAAACAGATATTATTTAAAATAACTGCAACAAATACAATTTACGCAAATAAAGAAACGAAAATTAGGTCTATGTTTCTCACCCAAAAATTTTATCTATTCCACAAATGTAATTATCCTTCGTACAAAAGTACAAGTGCAAGTATACAAAAAAATATATACGATTAAATGAAATCCAGAATAAATAGGTACAGAAATATAATACATTACATATAAATAGAAACACGTATGAAGATGAACCAAAAAAAAAAAAAAGGGAAAATATCAATCATGATTAAATACGGGCCGCTATCATGAATCAGATTAATATATTTTATCACTTGATTGTATTCTTCTACAAAATAAAACCATTGTTCCATAAAAAAATGATTTTATTTGTGACCTTATTTAGAAACAGGTTATATATGCTTAAGTCCAGATAATTTTTCACGCTGTTGCAAATTTGATGAGGAAGTGGGATATGAGTGAAATGATAACAAATTTTTCGATTTGTGAATTTTTAAAATTGTGTGATACCGAGGGCAGTGGTATAACCCTAAGTTCTGAAGAAGAGGTTGACAAGGGCCTCTACATCCCGCGTTGAATAAATTTCTGGTAGCTCATTTTTATGGATTCGGTTGAGTTTCCCCACAATGTATGCCAAAATTGAGTGAAAAGAATGAAAACATTAACTAGTGAACCAATGATGGGTATTTTCTATTTCCGACCCTGTTTCCCCTCTGTATTCGGGTTTTATGCGTTAAATGCAGATTCGTCTGCAAAATTCACCGGAACCGCAGGGTCCATACTTTTTAGGAGATCATTAATATAGACTAGAAATAATAATGGACCCATAGTGGAACCCTGTGGGACTAGACATTTCGTTATTGCAAACAACTGCTTACTTTCCATTCGAAAGATAAGATGATATAACATCCAGAGCAATCTAGTTTTTTCACTAAAACTGAATGACTGGCACAGTCAGAGCCCTTGAAGAGCTCACACAGTGTTAAAGTGCTTTGCTCCCATAGCGATAGTCCTTCTGTAGGTGAACACACTTTTCTAAACCAAAACTTATATCAAAATAATAAAACAATTGAGAATGCATAAATAATCATTGCATAAATTTTCGAAACTATTGGGATGGTTGAAATGGAACGATAATTATTCGGACCGGACACCTATTTTGTGCATTGGCACAATTTTAGATACTTTAAAATTTTCTTGATATGCTTCAATAAGGAAACATCCATTAATTATGTCGTTCAATAAAAGTCCAGAGGTGTTGAATTATTCAAGAAAATTTTAACCTCCTGGATCTCAATAATTGTACCAATAGCAATTATGAATTATTTTCAGGCTGAGCTGACAGAAGAACAAAAGCAGAAACTGAAAGAGTCCCATCAGGTGTGCCTGGCTGAAAGTGCGGTCGACGCAGAGCTCATAACAAAAGCTAGACAAGGCGATTTCACCGATGACGACAAACTGAAGAAGTACGCGTTCTGCATGTCTAGACGTATCGGATTCCAGAACGATGCAGGAGAAATTCAGGTCGACGTCATCAAACAGAAAGCTTCCTCTGTGGTGAAAGACCCGGCCGTTCTCGACAAGTTGGTCCAAGATTGCGCTGTCAAAAGGTCCAGTCCTGAAGAGACCGCGTTCGAAACGTTCAAATGTTACTACACCAATACCCCCAATCACGTCTCTGTATTCTAAAATGCCACTCTTGTGATAAACTCGATCAGTATTGATTAATTTTAATGCCTAATTTCTTATGATATGTTGGATCGTATGATATATAAGTCTCTTAACGGTCAATGTTGTTTTAATTGTGTTTACCGAACCTATCAAACCCCTTGGAGGAAATCTAAATCAATTTTAAAATTCTTGGAGAACACTTGAAATTTGCTCACAAAACTTGCCAAAATTTGAAGAAATGGCAACAGTTAATACACAATGGGCAAGTGCCGGCAGCGTAGCTCAATAAAAACTAAATTGAAAGCTGAAAACCAAAACATCTTTTAAAGAATCGAATTGAATTCTGAAACTTCAAGCTAGAATCTTGGATTTATTTTTTCTCATATTAGTATTCGATGTCGCAGTGCTTCCTCTCGTGTTACGTTATCATCACGCCATCTACCGTATAGCGAGAGCTTCATTTTTAAGCTGAATTAAAGCCTTTTCAATGGGCTATGGCGAGAAAAATCCCGCACTCTCTATGGTGTTTTTTCAGCTCAAGTGTATCAATGTTAGTTTATTAAACAGTAATTGGAAATCATCGAGAAATTAGTATTATGAATAGAATATCTGCTCAGCTAACCTTGGCTATAAAGTAGGCATCAAAATTATATTATTTGCCAAGGGGAATAAGAATAAATTATGTAAAATTTATATATTTATACAAAATTAACATATCTTTTAAAGCTGTATAAGCACCAGCTTAGGAATTGGGTATATCTATTAATGGAGTTCGCTATTGCAAATGAAAATGAACGCTCTTAACATTTTTTATATTTGTTGCTAATATTGAGGTTGTAGATATAAATTCTAAAACTTATTTTATTATATAGATATAGTAGAGATTTTTCAGTTACAAAGAAAGTGAATGAAGTAACCATCTTTGTCGCATAGTTTTCCTTAATTTTGTGACAAATTCTCTGAGAATTTTATATTTTTTTTATACGTTTGCTATCTGCAACTGTTATACAACAATTACAGGGCTAAGAAGTCCCACACTCGATTCCGAAATTGCATTTTGATGTGAGCTTTTTGTAGGTCTTCTTCGATATGTAAACCCAGGTTTTTAATTACAGATTTAGATGCATTAGAATTATTATCCATGAAACCACCATACTATAGCGTAATCAGATAAAGTGTTTCTTTCGAGCACCCTTTCGATTTAAAAAAAAAAATAGAAGGGGGGGCTACTACATTGGTCAAAACCTGGAAGGAAGTATTCTCAGATCCACGCTTCGAAAGTGATGTCAAGGAAAAACTAAGATGTACACAACTCTTCTTTTCTTACATGCCGTCTTCTAACTAAGGTTGGCGACCACACGTTTGAACTATGAACCCTTTTCTAGCAATTTCAATTTTCACTTCTAGTATTTGTTTAATTTTGAGCTGATTGTGGCACCTAGATATTTATAATTTTTGACTCGTTCTACATTTCCTTTCTGAACCAGTCGTATGTGAACCATTTGATTTTTTCATACGACTATGTATTTTGTTTGTTTAACGTTGCTTTGTTGTCCCTGTCCCAGCAAATGTTGTAAGTCGTCTATTCTTTCTGCCTAAATAGCCGTATCGTCCGCAAATCTTGTTATTTTTAACCTGGCCTCCGATTTTCATACCCTCATTTTTGTTGCAGTGAGTTTTCGGTATAAAGCCTTTCTGTATAGCGACTTCATTGGTTTCATCATCATCTCTTTTTACTGTAGCTCATTGATAGTAATATATGTTCCTTATAAGGCTAATGTCACGTAGTGATTTTTGATGTGATTTAAGTGGTCTATAAATCTTGCGTGCTGCCATTGGTCAAAAGTAGGACCGTCATTTCCTATAGAGCCTCCCTGGTTCCCATTCCGCCTCTAAAACCAAGTTGGGTGTTAACCAATTGGTGTTCACATCTTTTAAAGAGTTTGTTTTGTTTTACTTGCAAGATTATTTTAAGGGAATGGCTCGCTAATTGAGGACTCTTCTTCTTTGGCAGAGACACAGACACCGATTTGAGCTTTGGAACTTTTGCTTCCCTATACATTTGGTTAAACAGTATAGTTATTTAAGTCAAATTTTCATCGTTTAGGATTTTCAGGAATTCCACTGTATTTTAAGATTTCCGAATTGGGTTCTTCCTATCTTCTCTGTTGTCAGTAAACAATGATTTTATGTATTGTTCCCAAGTTTTCTCTTTGTCGTGTTCTGTTATCTGTAGACCGTGAGCATCTTTTTGTCATTACTGATATATTTAACAATCTCGAGTTGAGTTGAGATAAGCTTTCTTTTTTGCTTTTTTTATTTCATGCTCCATTTATTTTTCGAGTTGAGTATAGTTATCGTCGCTCGTGTTTTTATTAGTGTTATTATTTCCATAGGCATCCTTTCTTTGCTTTTGGTTGTTCAATTTGTGCTTCCTGTGACTTTTGTTGCTGCTTTTCTGAATATTTTGGTAATCTTTCGAATAATTTGTTCATTGCATTCTTCTCCTTACATTCTACTCAGATTCAGTCTTTGCTGGGGAACAGTGGGAGAATATATATGTGCTTGCCAATGTTGGTGAAAATATCCAGCTTTAATGAACACCATAGTGCCAAATTCATTTGGCCCCTTTGGAATAATTAAACTAAATTGCTTGAGTGAATATCTGATATTGATAAGTGTGCTTAGGCAAGCCCCGTAGTACCAACCTACCACCATACGCTTTTTTGGCAAGGATTTTTATAAATTCTGCTTAAAAAAAAATCTTCGCAACCCAAAAAAAAGCGAATTAAGAAACTGATATTAACATGGTTCCGGTTATATCGGAACGGTCACACATTATCAAACTTGTAAGTGTTATTGCTGTAGAAATTAATTTCCCGGTAACTATAAAAATCCCCGGTCAGTTTCGAGTTTCGCTGGGGCAATAGAATGTTTCTATTATCGCTATTTTTATGTCCATTTTCCATGAACGATCAGTGCTTTGTGGCTTCGCGGTTTGTGTATCGACGTAATTAGATTACACGTTTCGGACTGTTAACCACAAAAATAAATTATATAACCCGATATTTTTACAGCGGTTCCAAATTAGTCTTTAGATATATAATCTAGGGAGATAGCTTTGTTTTCGTTTTAATGCAATGAAAATATCGTGACGAGCTGAGACAATGTTGCCAGATCTGGACATCGCCGGTTATTTTACCGATATATTGTGGGTGTCCCAGTGAGGGCAACGCGGTATTGGGGAAAAGAATGTTTCTAAAAATTTGAAAAAATAATGGCGGAAATCATTTTTAAAGTTCTGAAATGGCCTTAATTGCCATATTGAATATTAAAAGCAGTTTCTTGCAGAATTTCGTTATATTAATGATACTTAGAAAGGATACCGTTCTTAAGCTGAGTCAAATTAAATTCTTTTTTGTTGGATCCATTTCACTCTATGTCTTAAATTAAAACAGAAAGAAATATCGGTAACTTCAAAATGACTGAATGGATTTTCATAAACTTGGAGCAGTTAAAAAAGGTTTTCCGCAGGTTTTCAAACGTGTTATGAGTGTGATAATGAAGCTAAAATTAAATTTACGTTTAATGTTCACGATTTTTTACAAAAAAACTGATTTATATTATTAAAGTTAAGTCTTTAAGCTTTCCAAGACCGTATAACAAAGTATGATTATCATTAAAAGAAGATTAATTACAGTTATTTAAAAATTACTAAATTATGAAATTTTCTCAAATAGCTCCTAATTATTACTTATCTACATAATTTCTCAAAATTTTTTTCCTAACTAACCCTGATTAGAAAAATGAATTTCAAAAAATTGATAATTTCAATTCTGCATAAGAGAAGGAATTTAAAATGTTCAGAAGTATTTAAATGTCATTATTTTCAATGAGGGAATGGTCAGTATTATTATTTTTATGGATTACAAATTTCAAAAATGGTTGTCAGTACGTAGTGTGGGTGGCAGAACTCTTGATGATAATTGAAAAAATGAATGATATGTATTATTACATGCAATCATCGATTACAATTTTTTATATATTAGCTTATATTAAGTATCCAACAAAAAAATCAAACATCCATTTTAATGATTAGCTTATTATTAATGATAATGATACAATATAACAGTTAAGAAAAATACGCCTTTTAGGTAGGATATTAATTTAATTTACTTTTCATTACTCAGTGTTATTTTATTAAAATTCGGGAATTTTTGCCTGTGATATTGAACTAATTGGAGTAAAAATTGTTTTTGCTCTTCGTTTCTCGCTAAGCAACGACTGTAAGCAGCAATCAGAGCTACACCTCGCTCTGCTACATCGCTGACGACTTTTAAACTCTTCACAATTTTTTTACATTCAATGAAATCTTGACTTTTTTCTCACAAATCTGGATAAACATCAAAGAAACCACAGGGCAATTGAAGCTGATCAAAAAGAAAAAGAGACTCCACACTAATAAAATCACTTAGGTCTTCTTGAACTAGTGTATCCAGATCATATTCCTCACCTCTAATTTTATTTTGTTTCTGTTATCACTTTTTTTTATGCTTAATAGCGCTTACCGTTTATAATTTAATGTCTACTGTTATTCTTTCATAAAAAAAACTAATCAAGTGTTCTGAAAACCACCAAAGATGCAGTTGCAATTTTTCAAGAGCAGCATTTGCAATGTCTAATTGGATTTGCGTGTATTCTATAACAGCTAACAGCAGAACACTATATCTTTTTTTGATAGCAAAAATTGATTTTGGAAGATGAATATTTCAATCAAACTTTGACTCAAACCTAAAAACAATTTATAAATTAGAATTTGTAGAATACAGAATTTATTTGTAGAATCAATCATATTATAACTACCTGTGTAATCGTTGTTTGGTTCTTCACCTAAATCTTCATTAGAGTCTCTGTCGAAACTTCTATGTTTGCAGAAAAAAAATGCTATGTCGATTTGACGTTTTCCATTCTCCATTTAAATATTTAGAATGAGCTTCTGTTAAAGAATGTGCTGAGTTCTGATTAGACATATCGAACAAATTCTCAAAAAATGTATGCTCCTTAATTTTTTATTTCTGAGTTTTTTTTTTCTTCAAAAGTTCCCGCTCTCTTTTTAAAGAATGACAATACACAATAATTTCTTAATACATGTGTTGCAGACACTGATAATTTGACAACTGTATCGTATGATCTAATAGAATTAGTGCTGCCACCTACACTACGTACTGACAACCATTTTAAAATTTGATATCCATAGAAATAAAACGCTTACTATTAATTAGGATACAAATTTTGCGGAATTATGTAGATAAAAAATTATTAGAAGCTATTTCTGAAAAGTTCAAAATTTAGTAATTTTTAAATGGCTGTAATTAATCTTCTTTTAATGATAATCATACTTTGTTGTACAGTTTTCGAAAGCCTAAAGACTCAACTTTAACAATTTATATTGGTTTTTTTGTAAAAAATCGCGAACATTATAGGTAAATTTAATTTTAGTGAAAAAATAATTTTTCCCACGTTAATTAAATATGAAACTAAAGTTCATCTTATAAGAACGAAACAAATGAGTTAAAAAATTGCATATTGATATATTCAGTGTGTCGGGTCTTATCTTTGCACAGATTATCAACATTGTTATTTTTACTGATTCGCGTTTTTTTATTTACAATTTTATTACAACTTGATCAAAAACCAGATCCGAACCTCAGAGCTAAACAATATTAAGTCCATTTTAAGGTTACGAGTACTTACATATTATGCTCAAATGTAAGGTTAAATTGTGTGACCTAATAATATTTACATTTTTACCGACAAACCTATAAAATGTGAAAACACGATTTGGGTTTTGCTGACACGAAAATTTAGGTCACCTTTATGGGACCTAATAAAATTAGGTAAGTCACGAAATACCATATTAAGTCGCAACGTAAGTATAATTTAAGTGAATATTAATATTAACTCCAAATCTAGAACAAAAATTCGAGCTATATCTTTATGAAAAAAAAAATGTTGTGTTTATGAATACACTATCTCATATGTGTAGTTTTTTCTTAGCAAAATTTTACCAAAGATACTTAATACTACTTGTCTGTTTTCCGTTTTAGGCTTTAATACTAGGATAGCAAGTATATTAAAAATTGGGATATCTGACAATTATCACAGTAGGTTCCGAAAGTCTTTTTGTTTCATGTAATTATTTTACAATGTAACTTTAAAATCATTAAATAGAACATATCGTATTACTAAAACCGGAAACAAATTTAGCTACGAAAATTGAAACCTACAAAAACGTCTCTGAAAAAAGTCAGTCTTGCCCGTATCAGTCGTCACTGTCGTCAAAATGCACTTAATTTAAATTAATAATCAATCGATTATTAATTAATAACAGCAAATTACCGTAAACGGTTTTATAGAATTTCGCCATTTGCTCCCGCCACTTTACAAAACCGAAGTGGCTGGCCTTGTGATAACTTGGTCAGTCATAGAAGAGGAACACATAGGGACACATTTCAAAGTACTTCCAACATGGCGTCGACATTCGTGAGTCCGACTTTCGCCGCCTCCCTCGATAAACAGTCGATCATAAATATCGTGGTATATTGAGGAGTGTCTTTTTGGACAATGCACGTATCCATTAATTTAGCCACTCTGTTCGGATCCTTTTGGTGATGTTCGATTCTCTCCCTAATTAGGGCGGAGTTGAGGTTTCCGTCTTCGTCTTGAAGTTGAAGAAGTTTCGCCAAACACAGTAGAAAGTTTGGCGCACTTTCCGGCACTTCGGCGGGTACTTCCTGGTTAATCACAACGTCGCACAGAAAGTCCTCGTCAATAGAGGTCTCGGGAGACTCTTGGCATTTGAGGTACGCCGCGTGGAACCGGTTAAATTTCTCAATATTTTCGGCTTCGTAGTCCTGTGGAGATCAATTATTGATGATCAGCACTGCAACTGCACCAAAAATACAACATAAAAGTAACATTGAACAACTTATTTTGCAAATAAGCATGAATAAGCGTGTTTTGGAACAAATTAAATTAATAAATCAACAGCCCCACCTTCAGGGTTCAATAATGGGCCCGCTTTTATACAGTGCCCGAATAAATGATGGGACATCCCTTTTATTTTTTGTACCCTTGCATGTGAAATTTCACACGCACGTATATAGTTGATACGTCTAATTTTTGACATAAACACAATATCTCAAAATGTCAAAATGACACCAGGGAATCATTTAAAGTATTTTTTTAGTGATAAGACGCTCTTTCACGGTCTATTTGCATATGGATGGGTAGGGTCAGGCGCTTATTATTATTTTTTGTGGCTTTTAACCATCAAGTCGATTTATTTTTGACAAACTTTAACTAAATTTACCCAAATTTTGGCGAAGCTTCTGGTCGTCCCACCCACTCATATTTCTAAAAAAGTATTTATTAAAAAAAAGGTCACTAGCTCGTAGCTATTTTTCTATCGATTAAAAAATTGGTTATTGCTGGGTATTGGCTCTGGCTTTAGGCTAAATCCATAGAATTATCCAAAAAATAACACTTTCAATAAATTAATTATTATTCGGTTATAATAATATGCAACAGCTTTTTTTTTTTAATTTTTAAGAAGTCCATTCCTGGTATTACGCAATAAAGTACAAATAACCCATTTTAACAAATTTATAATTATAGTAACGAAAATAAAAATTTAGTTAATTTTTGAGGTGGGTCTCCTTGCTCTAGGGGACCCTCACCTACCAGTTTTAAAAATATTTCATTAGTCAGTTTTTGCAGGACAACAAGTTAAGTAAATGCATTTTTAATTACAATTGAATTTAAATACAAATAATAATTATTATTATTGTAGCATTAGAGAATATCAAGCTATGTTATATTACTTTCACTTATCAATATCAAATGGTTAAATGCTAATTTTCCTAACAGGTGGGTTGGAAAAAGTGAAATTTATCTTACAAAACCAAATTCAGATGAAGATCTCAAAAACATAGTTCGAAATATAATTCAATGAAATGTATGTAATTTCCCCAGAAATTTTACATAATATGAGGAACAAGTATATTGACAGACGCTCTTATTGTCGGAATGCACAAGATGCGAATTCTATTTAAAAAAAATAGTTGATAAACTATTCATTTTTTAAATTTAAGCTGAGGTTAAGTAATAGAAAAGTAATGAAACATCTGCTGCCTAGCAAAAACTGACTAATGAACGTGAAAAATGCTGTAAATAGGCATCTACTTATATTTTGCATTTCACCGTCCTATACAGAAGGGTAAAAAATGAAAGGGGGTTCCATCATTTACGCGGCGATGTATATTACAAAAATAAATAGTTATATTAAAAAACTTACAGAGTGTACAGTAAGTAGTACACTGAATATTAAGTCAAAGAAGACGCGATACTAAGAATGGGATCAAAAAATTTTAGGCTGTACTATGTTGCGTACGGCCGAAGTCAACGTTTGTTTTCTTATCGGCGCCATATTAAATTTGTACATTTTCAAAATCCTCTACAAAAATGCTTTTCAATCATGTGTTATACATTTATGTTTGGTCAAGATCAATCCGAAAAAATAACAAATATAAGATTTCAGGCTAATAGGCTTTGATATCGCTGAGTTCATTTTGCAACTTGGCCATGGCAACGTATTCCAGATGATTCCAGGTGAAGTTGATAAATTGTGAGTTTTAAAGGGGATTATTTTTCATATATGATTTGAAGAAATTTATTTAAATAAATATCCAGACACATGTCAACCGGCTAGAGCTATGTTTAGGCGTCTCAAACACAACCTTCACACTGACCTTTACTAAGGTAAAAACATCCCGATGAAAATCAAGAAAATTTGGTCTTGCAATGCATAGTTGAGACACCTCGACATCTTTCCTCCATATTAGAAGAATGGCGTTGTCCTTGTGGTTTATTCAGATAAATAACGAGATACCAAACTTTTCCTTAAAAGTTCTTTTGCCTAGTTAGTTATATAGAGATATTTAAGCCTTGTACCAACAACAGAAGATTTTGTCAACCTTCCGCCAGCGGTTCTGCAATAAATGTTGTTCCAACAAGATGGCGCACCGCTACACAATGCAGAGATTATAAAGAATTTTTTAAATGTAGAATTTAATTTCTTTGTATGAGGTCATCTCAAAAATCAAGTATATACTAGATCTTAGGAAAGGTTGAAGAATTAAGATATGCTGTTGAAGAAGACGTTATCAATATCATTCTGCAAATGTTAAGACAATTCTGTGAAGCAGTGTGGGGAAGATGTATGTTAGACTTGCAACAAAATGGCGGATTATTTCAACACTTACTCTAATTTGTTTGTAAAATTCTGTATATGTTCTTCATTTTTTGTGTGTTGAAGAAGTAAAGAACCCTGAAAGGTATGTATGAAAATTTTACAGACTTCTTTTCTAGATCCTCTTCTGTCTTTAATCTTATTGACTCTTTTCTTGTCCACTTGCCCACACTTAAAATTGAATAGCAATACCAAAGCCTACTATCCTGAAATCTCGTACATCATCATCTTATATTGAACACCTTGTATAAGCAGGTGCAGAGTACAATGCAGGCAAATGTCAGTTCAGCTCTGCAGAAGTCAACTGAATGATTATAGAAACATCAGCAAATTTGATTTAGAAAGAAGGTTTGTAAAAGTATCCAAGAAACTTTGTGATAACCACATTGCTTAGTTAAATGTGTGAAATAGAAGATTTATTATTATTTTAGTAACTGTTTATTCCACAAAACTGTCACTAATAGGTATCCTCCCTCATTGTATAGCACAATAATCTTTGAAAAGATACGTACGTAACGTTAATCTGGGACAGGTCAACAAGATGGTCACACTGTCACAACTATAAGGTTTTATTGCATTTTCCAATTCGACATTCCGCTTTCAAAGTGTAATATTCAGGTGTAAAAACGAATTATTCATTATTATAGCCGAAATTATTCCATTGACTAAGCCAGTAAATTATCTACAAAAGGATTACGGGCATTCCTATATGCATCTCTTACCGTTTTCGAAGAAATTAAAGATATTCTCTATTGTCACAAATTACGTGTTAGACGCGCTTACGACCATTACATGGCTGGCTTTTATTCTAACCCGCCATGCAGGAATGTCAATTCATTGAAATTAAAAGAAAAGGTGTCTGGAGTTTGAATGACGTGAAGTTTGCAGACTTGAAAAAATAACACAGGTTAATAAATTTAAATGTTATGAGTATTTTCCTATATCGCGCAAGCATTTTTACCAATATTAAATGAATTAGTAAATAAAAATCTCGGTTTATTTAAATATTATTTTTATTAGTAAAAAAACAAAAACTGAATTAAAAAATCTAAACTAATTAACAAAGTCTCAAACAATGCTTAAGTCTGTTTATTTTTGGAAGATCTCTCCTTCTTGGCCGAAAAAACCACACTTACACGTATATTTTGCTTTCGGTGGTTCCCGATAATATTCGGTTAATTAATGCAAAAATGTATGCCAGTGGCGTAGCAATTTCAATATTTAAAACGTTATGTAGTGTTCTTATTTTTAAAACAATAAATATGACATGTATCGTACTAAATTTAACAGGTTCGAAGAAAATTTTCTTTAAAATAGAAGTATTGATTATCTTTCATTTCTGCAAAAACAATGAGAAGTAGGTATAATTATTTGTAGATAATTTGTTGGCCTAGTCAATGGCGTCCCCTGTATAAGATATTGTCAATATCACATGCACAGTTTTTAAGTACATTTATTATCACCTGCGACAGTGTTAATTCAATAATTTTTACTGCAAAATATCACACTTCATCCAAGCGGGGTTTTAAAAACAAACAAACAAGATGGCAGATAAGTGTAGCTACAATGAGTGGAAGTTCTATAAATTTTTATGCAGAACTCGAAAATGCAATATGTTCCATTCGAAAATTCAATGTTGTCACTGTAGAACCTGCAGCTTTGCAAGGGCCAACTATAGCCATTATGGCCATATACCGAGGTTCACAACAATATCTAATGTAATATGAAATGAACACCGGCTCTCGGACTATTTACTATGTAAACGAGCAAAAATTTGTTGTTACGAGAACAAATATTTTCACGACTACCTGCTTACCAAAACTGGGACAAATATGCTGCACAAAACCAATAGAACGCGTTGCATACTGCTTCGAATGTTTGAATTCTACAAATTCAATCGCTTTATGTTAAAGCGCAAATAAAATGACGTGCTCCGTAACATAAGACTGAAATTGCAGTCTAGTATTCCCACGTAGTCGTGCTTAATGCGATGCATCAGCAAGCGGTACGTGTAGAACAAAATAATTACGAATCGGACGCAGTTGGCCGTGACCAGCGATACGTCAAAAATTTGTTGTTTGCATTCTGCTTGAACTAGCAACAGAATTAATGTCCGCTTCATAAAGGACTACCGGGTGACTTAAGGAATACTTAAGAGGCTTTCATTACTTGACGTTGATGCCATTTTAAAGTTCAGTTTTTCATCGCATACAGCTAATAACACCCGGGCTCGAGTAAAAGGGAAATATTTTTATTTTTAAAAATTAGGTATTACATACTGGCCGATCATTTATAATATACTTTTTTATTTAACTTTCGCGAAAAAAACGTCAAATACGTAAGTTGTTCAAAAGATAGTAAACTATGTGCAAGATATATTTTTATATATGTTTTGATGAAATCACCTACAGATAAAAGTTATAAATTTTAGTGGAGCAGCCTGTATATTATACTCTTGATGAAATCCCCGATATATATTTGCTTTTAACTTAAAATAATATTCAAGAATTTATAATTTATATCCTACGTGGCTGTGAAGTATTTTAAAGGGCCATACGAAAATGCAAAAATATACAGTGTGTTTGATTTTGAAAATATAAAAGAAGCAATATTTTGCGAAACATCGCAATTCCGCGTATTTGATAAAAATTTTATATACTGTCTCAGAAAAAGTATAATTTTTTAAATAATGTTACCAGGAAAAATGTTTCAAAATTAAATATGCGACTTTACAAAAACCTTTAAAACATTACCTCAATCCCGAAGACATTCACGAATAACGGTGCAAAGTAACTTTATTTGACCACTCTTCATGTAATTGAGTTACACTTCAAATAATACACAAAAATTAAAGAACTGTTTCTTATATAACTTTTCTGAAAAAGTTATCGGACCCATTAAATATAGCACCGTGTATATTTATAACCCAAAACATTTTTCCGTTTTCACAAATATGTACCGGACGACACAAGAAAGTGTTGACACTCTATAACTTTTAAACGGTTTGAGATAGCAATTTAAAATTTGGAAGGGTTAATATAGGCTGAATGTCCAATTTTTTCGCGATATGTACACATGTTGCACTTCCGGTTTAAGCGTCTTCGAATTTTGAATGACCACCTAGAATAGGATGGTTTTTCTCTTATTTTTGTTTTTTAAATTCTTATGTAACTTTCGAAAATTGTCCAGGAGGCTAGGAGCATCATAAAGTGGGAACAAAAACTTTTTCAAACAGGTATTTTTTTGCAACATGTTGAAACCAAAATGTTCAAAATCCGTTAAAAAACAAGCTTACTTTAAGGAAAAAAATAGGTAAGTAAATTCGTGTTTAAAAAGACAAAATATTTCTTAGGTGGCTATGCTTCTATTCATCAAGTCGGCATTACTAAAAATTCTGAAAGTCTGTACATATTTATCTGACTATCGGTTCGATATTGTAATTGACTGTTAGATAAACATGACGAGAGAAATAATTTCCCTAACTAGTGGACCTGTTTTTTTTTATGGTGCCTTAACTGGCGCACGATATTTGCAATTCCTAAGACATGAAATTTAAGACTTGTTAGATGATTTTACCTCTTGACGTGACATTAAAGGATGTAAAGAAACAATAATTTCCAAAAATTAAGCGTACAATTTAATGGTTGGCTATTGCTATTGTCTGTAGTCTACAGTCTATAATATAGATGTCTTTTAATACCAGCAGCTTATGAATATGATGAAAAATATGATGTACTTTATAAAGAGTAATGAAAATTCTATAGCAGCTTCGGAATTAAGTAAGCTCTATGCAAAGCAACCTTTTTTTGAAATATTTGCTCGTTTAAAAGAATGCTTTGTTCATCACTGATAATTTGCTCAGTAGCGTAATAAAACATACAACAAAATGGGCAGGGAAAGAAAAGAGATAGATGTTTTCGGATATGCAGAAGCACCACAAGGACAACAAGGACAACACGAGGACAACCTCATGTAGAGAAAATGTAAGATGATCTTGAAGCAGTATAAGTGTCATCCATCGATGCTAATTATTGATTTGACAGGTGATACAAATGATTTTTCTCATTGCATTATCGGGAAGTGGCGTAGTGGGTATCAGCTTTTAATGTTCGACAGGGCTTTGTTTATAGTATTTTTTAAGGAAGTCTGATAGCACGTAGATACCTAGATACCTGTTGAGGAAGTTATTCCAGAACTGTTAGCCCGTTGGTCCAACATAATGCTGTTTAGCTACAAGTGCATAGTCATAACTCATATGAAACATCATAGTCTTAGCCGTTCGACATGTGCGAATGAGACCAATGATTCTTTTTAACACTATTCACCGCACCATAAAAATGGGTAAATTTCAAATTAGAGAAAATGGAAGTCAATTTGAACATTACCTTAAAAATTTTGTTTCTTATTTTTAACAATGCAGTTTTTTTGGTGATTTGTTACATTGATGCTTTATGCTACAAAACTGATGCTGTAAACTTTTTCACAGTTTTGACAATTTCTGTAATATCTCTATCTTAAAAACTAAAAAGATTATGAAAATATTGTTAGCGTCAACTTTCAGGAAAAAGTACACTCTCGCGAAAACGAAAACTGTCTACAATAATAACGAAGATACTCTAAATCTTCCTCCTGCTTATATATTGTTTGAGGGACGCGGAGCTAAATGATAACTGATGCCCTGATGAAAGATCTGAGTCACGGGTGCTTATAGATTTGCAAGAATTTATCGAATAAGATTTGGTGACCGATTCCATGATCGTAATCGGCAACTGCTGATGAGTTTATTTGTAGTAGTCTTAAGGTTCTTTCATACTCTTTGAGTCCAGTTAATATTCCAGCCTCTCCAATGCATGTGTATGTTATTTTTGGACATGCGGTAAATCTCGTTTTGATTTTATTATTTCTTAAGAGCTTTTAATATGTGATCAGTAATGTTTTGACCGTCAGGAAGGACAATGGTTGCTTTCAGATTCAATACCTTTGAAAGGTTGTTATAAGGTGTATTTTGTGATGGAATATCTCTAATGTCAAAACGATGAGCAAATGTAAATCGCTTTAATTCTTTGTTTAGTGACAAGGGTTGTAAATAGAGTTCATAACCGCTAATTTTTAGTCCGGATGGTGATGCTACAGTGCATTAAGATATCGGTCTGTGTACGTAGGTTTTCTATAAAGAGAATGACGCCGTGTTGGGTCTGATTTGATAAGGATGGGAGATTGTTATTAGTTTGTAGTTCAATGGTAAAACCATGAGGCCAAAAATCAAATGTATTATCCAGAATATATTCGCGATGACTGGTGGAAAGCCCATAGCTGTTTCCGACAGACGTTCATTCATAAATTTGACCGTTACAAGAAAAATATGTTCTAGGCAAGCATTTTTCATTAAGATGAGAAGCTTTGGTTCCAGATTCTCGCATTTTAATATATCTCAAGAATACTGAGGGCTTCAGGAATACGGACTAGTAAAGAGAGAAGCTGAGTCGAGACTAATGTAATGGTTTTTAATTGTTCAGTGTAATTAAAGGAATCAATTACGAAAGTATCACTTTTCTCTGTAAGAAGAAGCCTCTGTATAGAAGGTGGATAGAGAATATGTCCCAGTTTGAGAATCGGAGGGTACATTGGTAGGTGAGAGGAGGAGGAAGATTTTCGGTTTTTGTCATGAATAATGTTTGAAAGATGGGGACAAGATGGAATTAATTTCAAATTTTAGAAACAGATGTTTAGTCTATTTCTTTACGAGTCTGATGAATTTTTCTCGAAGTAAAAGAAAACTAGATTTACGAAGAATATTATAAGCAGATGAGGTTTTGAGATGATACAATATTTTAGGAAAATTAGTCATTCCCAGGCGGTGACCTTCGAAATTTTCGCTCTTCCCCTCCATAAAGGTTTGTTAATTTTTCAAAGACGCTTCTACAGTCTAGGGTAATGCCCCTCAAACAATATATAAGCAGGTAAGCTTTGAAGAAGAAACCAGAATGATTTTCGAAACGTCAGAAAGTTTGATCCAGAAGTTGGGTAAATAGTATTGCGGTAGAAGCTCCTTTGAAAAATTGACATCTTGTTCCATTTCCTTGGTGTAAATTTCGAGATTAATTAATAATAGCTAAAACTAAGCAATGGTACCCTGTAATTAAAGTGTCATTCAGTTTCCTATACTACGACACATAGAAATAATGGGGTAATATGGTAATTGGTCATAAATGACAACGCCAACCAATCTAATCCAATTTTCTATCGAAACTGCTCTTAAGAGGATACTCGTAAATTAAATTGATAACCGACGTAATGTTTTGCAACGAATAAAAGAAACCACACAAAATACACAATCTATTTATTCGAAATCGTAGGTGACACAGTTTTATTGCTAGAACAAATCATCAAAGTTGGCGTCTTTGGGGGCGTGCTCGCAAAGACATTTAGATACTGCAAGAGCGGTGTCTTGAGGTGTGTTTTTCATCTTAAAGCACAACATCTCTGCTTGGTCGGCCAGTTCTTTGTTGAATTTCCTTGCGATTAGCGCTTTCACGTTTTCGCCTTGTATCTCTCCCGCTTCGTTCTGATAGCCGAGGCGTTTGTAAGTACAGAATAAGAAGTCCTTTAATTTCTCGTCGAACTGGTGTTGCTGCATTTTCTTTACGAGGGCCGGGTCCACCGCAGTTTCTTGCATGCATTGTTCGCGGATCTTTTTAAATTTCGACAGTTCCTCTGGGGTTAAAGTTTCGGCCTAAACAACAAAAGGGGATAGTTTCAGGTAAGTATCAGGGGATATTTTAAAGGTACATCTTGTGTCAAATAAAACGATCCACTATGCGATCTGGAAACCCATAGGAGATACGAAAGAAAGTTTCGTCCAAAAGTTTCTTGGACTCTTAAAATTAGAAATATTATAATTTTATTGATATTAAGGTGTCTCAAAAGTGTCCCGGCAGTCATCAACTTTTTTATTTTAAAAGGAACTTCCAATATATTTCGATATTTTTCGAATCCTTGATTAAAATAAAGGTCATTTTCTTAAGAAATTCCCATTCAAATTAGGCAGAAATTGGAAGTTATGTTTTTTTTTTTTTCATATTGATTGCCCAATATAAAATTTTGTTGTGACGCTACTGGTCCAGGTATGGCGACGAAAATTTAAATACAGACTAAGGAGTCTTCGGAACGGCCCTGATCGATCCGGACTCAGTGCACGGTATTGGGCTAAAGGAGTTGCTGACCTTCTATAGGACGGGCGGCATTCTGGACGCCCTCTACAGCGGCCTCGGGGCACAACGGGCCCATCTGGTGGCCAAAGTGCTTGGACGCCCGCGAGGGCGCCCCCCTTTAATACCAATACCGATACCAAGGAGTTGATGCACTACTCAATCACAGACAGATGCGCCTCAGCTTACACAGGGTGGTGTCTTTTTGGCTCATGCCACATTTGTTTTATTAAAATAAAATAAAAATCTAAAATGTACCTACTTTGCAAATCTCTAGATGCAGTACTATTAAAATAATATTATAACAATTAACTAACAATGGGTTTGTTCGTTAATGAACCGTCAGTTTGAGGTGTTGGTTATTTAGTTATTATGGAATAAGTTTTCAAATTAATACTCAAAAATATTAAACGCTTTCATGTAAATAAAAAAAAACATTTAGTGTATGGGGACTTTTTTGAGGGACGGTAGTTCAAACAATTTGAATTCCAGAGATTTACATTACAAAAAAATTATATTAAATATTGCTATATATTTCTCTTTTTCGTTCTTGGATTTATTGATTTAATTTCTTTTTAGAGTAACATGTAATTTTTTTTTCTACTCCCGTCTGTAAAATACCTAATTACCTGCCGATCTAGCGTGCGGAAAGCGTCACTTTACCACGTCAGTTTCATTTCTCATGAATGCGAGCCACTCCGGGTATTTCCGGAATTTTACCGCACGGATTTGGGAGCAATCGGATATTTTTGGTAAAATTTTTGAAATGCCGTTTACTGCACCGCATAATATACTATTTTGTATCTCTTGTAACTTGGATAAGTCTAAGTATTATTAATTCTCGTATATGATTATTACACTGATTGAACTAATGAAAATTAATGTCGAAAATATACAGAGGGATTCATAAAGAAGGGGGTCTAAATTGGAGCCCTTTAACGTGAATTTTCTTATTAATAGAGAAAGTTTTTGTACTATGATATTAAAAATTGGCAGTTTTGGGTTTTTTGACATGACTATTACCCATTTGACTCAATGCTCAATGTAATACTTCTGATTTTTTTATAAATACTTGATGGAAAGGTACATTTTACAATTGCTTCTAAGGGTATTCTTGTATTTGCATATTTGCATAAAATTTGATATGAGATTTTTGTTTTTATTCCTATTGTTATTGTTAAATATTCGCAATTCGTAAAGACCATGTAAAATACCTAAAATCTTTCTCAGTATTTAGAATTAAATTTAAATTTTCATCGCCCCGCATCTTCTTTAGTGTCTAATATATCTATATATTGCGGCGCCTTAGTATGTCAAAATACTAAGGCGAATGAAACACCAAAATCTAATGTAACTATAATGATGGTTAATGCATTATACTAGATAAATTGTATTTATTAAATGTGCCCATGAACTAACAATAAGGTTCCAGAAAACCTAATAGATATTAAAAAGCTTAGACTGAATGTTAAGCAAATCAAAACATATTTAGCTATTGTTGCAAATATGTCTCTCCGATTGTAGGTATTCTTTAGGCCACAGCTATTAAGCATCGTTTAGAGAATATGTAATGATATAGAGAACTAAAGAGTTATTGGAATATTAGAACAAAGGGTTCTTACGTATAATAACCAAGAACTATTGGAATGATTGTTTCGCAATGAAAACAGAACTGAAAGCAATACTGGAGTTGGAAAACAATTAATTCAGTGTGCATACGATTTAGTTCAATTACTGTAATTTCCAACGGGTTAGAAGCAACCTATGGATTTGAGATAGTGAGTGATTTGATATGGTTGATTGGTTTTTGAATTATTCTAGCAACTCCGCGACTCAGGTCTCTACCTTTCACCAATCTGGAGAGACAATGCTCATATCCCTCCTTTAGTTACGCCCCACTCCACCAATAGATAAACACCTACAGAGTAGATTGAGAGTCGGTTTCAATTAAGCTCTGAAGAAGAGAACACGATGATTGGCGAAACCTCAGCAAGTTTGACTTATATAAAAAATCCAACGCAAGATTTGTAAATGCCATTTTTTACTTCACTGGAATTTAGGAATTTTTGAAAATGAAAAAATGTAAAAATCATTCCAATCGTTGCGAGATCCCTGATTTCGGTTTCCCAGTCCCTGTCGAAAGTAAACCTATACCTGCACAAAGCAAATTGCCACAAGACACTGTCAGGTGGAGCGAAAAACCTCGTTAGACTGAATCCGAATCAACGCCGGAAATGGCCCTTAAAATTTACTCGATTCTTTGTTCCTTTTATTTTGTTTTCTTTGAAACTCGTAGCTATTGTGTCGCCGCTGATTAATTTTATATAAATTTGGCTGTACGTGAGCTCTAAAGATGAAAAAAATTGAACCATTGCATGTCATCCCAACTTGCTGCAGGCTCATGAAAAATTCAATATACTTACGTACACTGAGGCCATCAGATACGCAACGGCCAACAAAATTTTCATTTTTCAGCAGTTTATATACAGCAAAACGCGAACTATAATGGTTAGGTATGATATGGCGCAACTTTGTATATTATCTGAATAAAATAGTCCATTAGCTTCCCATTTTATTCTCCTCTATTTAATGATCTTTGACAATAACATCGTCGATAAGGGAAATAGTAAGTAGTTAGCGTATCCGCTCCCCATTTGACACAAAAGCGTATTTTTACCGAGCCCGAATTTAATAATAGAATTGTGATGTCAATGCCGAAATTCGTTAAACAATTATACCATTTTTGAAGCACCGCGGCAGCGTCATGTTCCACCAACGTTTTAATGAAATTCGCTAACCGTATGTTCCATTTACGTGAGCTTTGGCATACTCTTCCCTCATTTAAATTCCTTTGATAATTATACGTCGCGCGTCTATAAAGGTGTCACTTACCTGGGAATATTGAAGACGCGTATGTAGTGCTTCACAAGTGTCAGAGAACACTGAAACAAAAAATTCACTACTTTTAGTTTAGTTGAGTATAACAACATCGCATCGAAACTAACGGAGCAGAAACGAAGTTATTAGGAATATTTTAATTTAATTTTTTTTATACTAATAATGTTTTATACAAATAATGTTTGTCACATTTTGTACTAATTCCTGTCAACGCTACTAGGTGCCTGTCCCAAGTGATATCAGCATTTAATAATTTCATTCATGTCCTTATCTCACTTATCAAATTTTACGTCAAATGTAAAAATTATAGTTTAATAATAAAAAAAACTAAATCATACAACAAAATAAATAAAAAGAGAATGCCGGATGTTATATGTTAAATATTGTGTGGCTTCCATGTACTGGAGACCACATCATTTACTTAATTTTGTACTATTCTTCGATTACAATTCCTAGATGTAAGAGTACAAAGAGGCGCCTCTTGAGGAAGTGACCATTACCTAGTGCAAGGATAGATGACGGCAATGAAAAAACCGAAAGAAAAACTCAAAGAAGAAAATAACAAAGAAAAGAGGAAGAAAGATTTAATACAAACAAACAGCTTAGAGAATGAAAGTACAAGAATATTATAAAAGACCAGACTGGACCTCAAGATGCAGAAGATAGAATTCGCCAATATAGAAGAAGAGTACAGATATATAAAGACATGTATACACTCTGCGCAGAGGAGGCCATCAAAAGAAGAGCGAGAAACAACAAAGACCGTATTGGTGGGATGAAGAGATCGAATACGAAATAGAAACGGAAAACGGCAAAAAATATCACAAATATTTAAGTTAAAAAAAAGTACGAAATAAGTACGAGGAAAGATATGCGAAAAAGAAATAATCAATGGGAAAAGGCAAGCCCAAGACTCAACACATACAGACAAGGAAGGAAAAGTACGAAATGGTGGAGGCGTCTTCGAAACATGAGAACATAACGAAGAGACGTACTCGCATCAATATCACCCCAAGAGTGGAAGCAATGCTTGATGATGCTGACTGAAGATAGACAACAATTTAAGGTGACCCAAACGTAGACCCAAATATAGTCAAACAAGGATCCCCAATAAGGATCACAATAACAGAGGTCAAGGAAGCATATAAAACACTAAAACATGGCAGAGCCCCAGGACCAGGAAATATCCAGAATAATGGAATGGAAGAATGGAAAATCATACTTAATACTAAATACTAAAAATAGAGTGCTGATATGCAGTCTGAAGAACAACCAGGTCTTAGAGCAGGAAAATCCACAACGATTATCTTTTCTCATTAACACAAATCCTAGAAAAGAAGGCAGCATTTAATCAAGAAGGAACAAGGAACAAGATCGAGAGTTAAAACAAGTTATGGTTTAACAACAGGATTTACGGATAGCAACTTAAACAGGGTTGTTGCTTTAACAACAGGATTTACGGATACCAAAGGCGTAAAACAAGGTTGTTGCATGCAAATTTATTTGGAAAATGCGCTACAGATTTGGAAGTGAAAGTTCAAGAATATGGGAATCCCAGTGGATGACGAATATACAGTTTGCACTCTATCGTCGCAGATGATCGTTGCACAAGAAATGGATGACATCGAATACATGACCCGCAAACTGATGGAAGAATATGACATATGTTGGGAGGTCAACATCGACAATTTCGAATACATGTGCATTGGAGGACAACAACAAAATCTACTTCTGGCAAGAGGGCATAATATTAAACACTGCAGTCGATACAAATATCTGGGAATGAAAATCAACAAAGACAGAACTCTAGACGGAGCAATAGCAGAGAGGAACGTCCAAGGAAGAAGAGCAATTTTCATTTTAAATCGTTAAAAGCATTATAATATATAGTTCTGAAATATGGCCTCTGAATGAAAAAACACAGAAAACGCTAAAAGCCACGGAGAAGGGAAAATCTAGAAGAGACAGAATATCAAACGATACGATTGGACAGAGCATGGAGGTAAAACACGATATTATCGATTAAATTAGAACTCAGCAACTGATACGACTGTTAAAGCAATTTGTTAAATGTTTTGAGCAGTGCGTCATTGTCATTTTCATGCCAATTTCATTGTTATCATATTTCCAATACTGTCACTGTAATATAATATAAAATATCAGCGTTTTCACAAATAAGTAAAAGGAACCCTAAATTTATTAAATTCCGACGAACAAATATTCAGCCATTGGTGCAAAGCGTCAGGCCTGAGTCTACGCTTTAATGAAAAGCAGCCAAAACTTTCGATTTTTTGTCAAATTTGTAGAAGATAGGCAACCTTGTAATGCTTTTAATAATGGCAACACTACAAATTGCGTAAAATTTGACCAATTCCAAAAATTCCATTTTTATTTTTAATTAAAACCAGCGACATCTAGCCTATAAATAAACAAAGAAAATATTGAAAGAAAAATGGTTAACGATATCGGAGCACAAAAAAGTTAAATTTGAAAGGTAACGGCAACTGTCATCGAGCTGTCGGAGCCAGATGATCTGAGTTCTTTTGAATCAAATATACAACCTAATAGTAAAATAAGATTTTAGGTAACAAATGAAAGAAACTATTTTTTTTCTGTGAGCCTCTGAATGCCAAAATGAAACTTTATAAAACTTCAAATAAAATTCGTTTTCTTTTCTGGAATCTTATAAAATCCCACTTACATGTCTCACTTACATATGTTCACCATGTTCATTGCAAGTTCCTCTTTGAGTCTGTTTATGCGGCTACTGTTTAGTTTTAATTCAAAAATACCAACGGAATTTCTTAAAACCGCCATTTTTTATTATAAGGATCTATCCAGGACTCTATATTTGACACCAGTGACGTATGGACTAAGGCATGCCCCGGTGCACATAAATCTGGAAATATACTTTGGACATTATGGAAAGCAGATAACACATTTATTAGGTAAGCTTAATTTTATATCTTCAGTTCATTAATTATTAATCATTCTAAAAGTAGAACTGTACATTCTTCTACAGAAAGAGCAACAAAAATTATTTATTCTTGTGTGTGTGATAATCGTGGCATTGGGCCAAAAAAAAAAGGTATTATAATAACGGTATGCAATGTTATATTTTTAGAAGGTTATGGTGACCAAGAAGAAAGTGACGAAAATTTGGGAAAACCGGGACATTATTTAAATGAAATCGAAATAAATCATTTGCAAAAAGTTAGTAATGTAGTAGTGGAGAATTACAGTTTTTGAATATTAAATTACCATCGCACTAACGAAAATGCTATGTTTCGAAACGCAAACTTGACGTTAATTTCAACAGTTTTCTATTTCAATAATCTTAAGTCAACGCTGATTGCGCCATACCAATTTTGTTCATTATTTAAATGAAAGTCAATATTTATTGAAACAATTTCAACACTGACCTTAAACTCAACGTACTTACTGCATAGCCCCTATTGTTTAGGGCATTTTTTAGCTCTCCAAGGCCACGTAAGTTTTACTATTAGTGTACTAGACATATACAGGCACCGCCTGTGCTGACAGTACAGCAAATATGTAAAATTTGTTTGAGATGGTCAAATCAACGTGCGCATGTGCGAGATTTAAAATTTTTGCTTTTAACCAATGACAGCTCTAATTTTCGACCCATAAGAACTTGCGGATTTCAACAACCAACATGGCCGCTGACAGATCGTCAATGTTTTGGATTCCTATTAAATTTTTATGTTGTTTAAAAAATAGCGACAAATTCAGGGTTATAGCACCCGCATTGGCGTCAGAATAATTCTGGAATTTAGTTCTGTAGTTTTGGTTAATTTGTATGTATGTGTGTATACTCTCTTCTGTAAAATACTTAATTATAAACCGATCTAGCGTGCAGGAAGCGTCACTTTTGACGTTTGTCCATTCTGACAGTCATGTGTTATCCTGCCAAAATGTACCCAAAAACTAACGGTCGTAGAAAAAGTATAGTAAACTTTTTAAGTTACTCGTTCATTACACACTCGCTCCGCTCTATATACGCAGGTACAGAGTAGAATGCAACAAGTCAGTTTCTGTTTAGTTCTGAAGAAGCTAACAGGATAATTGTCAAGTTAAAATTACTCAATTTCTGCTATCTTTACCTTTAGCTTACCTAACCTTACCTCGCACCAATTGTACTGACTCGGTTTGGCGAGTTTTAATCAAACAGCAAAAATTCAACAATTTATTAATGCTGAGAAACAGTAACAAGAGATAAAAACAATGAGTGCAAAATGACCTTTAGTGTTCGGAAGTAAACTATGCTCATGACTTGTAACTATCACCTTGTGTAAATAACTCCTGAGTACCACTTTTTGAGTAACATTGCAATATGCATTTTTAGAAATTTTTCATGGACATTTTTGTGTTTCTATGAATACATTTCCAAGACACCTTTTTTGGCAGAATTTAATTTAATATGTCCAATAGAGATGATGAGATGACCTTCTTTGACAAATTGACCTTTCTCTTCCCATCAAGGGAAGAGTGGAGAGAGGGCAGAATCGGCTCCTGGGATGGATTTGTCTGGTACACGGACGGGTCCAGAATGGGAGATCTGGCCGGAGCTGGAGTGTACTGCGAGACAACGGGATCGAGCTTGTCGGTCCCTCTGGGTCAGTACTGCACTGTGTTTCAGGCGGAAATTTTCGCTTTATTGATGGCGGCCAGAGAGGTGCTTCGGCTCAACCACGCAAGCAGGAGAGTCTTCTTCTGCTTGGATAGTAGGGCTGCACTTATGGCGCTGAAGTCAGTGCGTATGCGCTCCTTGTTGATAAAGGAGTGCAAAGGGGTACTGAGGAGGGTGGCTGAGGAGAGGAAGGTTACGTTGGTCTGGATCCCGGGTCACACCGGTATCCGGGGCGATGAGGCAGCGGACGCCTTAGCCAGAGAGCTCCTCGCATAGGCATATAGGGCCAGAGCCCCGCTTGGGGATCGCCCCGTGTGTGAGGTGGAACCTCTCGAAGCCTGGGCGAGAGAAAGGGCCGCGGGGGGCTGGAGAGTTGCTCCGGGAATGAGGCAAGCGAGGCCTATGATGGATGGGCCCGCCCTCCCTCGGACCAGGGAGCTGCTTAGACTGACCAGAAGGGAGTGTAGAGCACTAACAGGGGCCTACACAAGACATTGCAGGCTTAGGAGGCATCTTTGCTTGCTAGGCATTGGAGACGACCCGGAGTGTAGGTGGTGCATGGAAGGGGAGGAGACCCAGTATCATCTGCTCACCGAGTGCCCTGCCTTGACATGGGCAAGATTGGGAGTCTTCGGAACGGCCCTGATCGATCCGGACTCAGTGCACCGTATTGGGCTAAAGAAGTTGCTGACCTTCTATGGGAGGGGCGGCATTCTGGACGCCCTCTAGAGCGGCCTGGGGGCACAACGGGCCCATCTGGTGGCCTAAGTGCTTGGACGCCCGCGAGGGCGCCCCCCTTTAATACCAATACCAATACCAATATGTTCAATAGATTTTGATTTACAAGGTGTGGTTTTCAATTGACACACCCATCTCAGTTTGTATTTAAAGTATTTAAAGAATTTAAATAATCAAGGGATTTCTATTTTTTATTGCAGATTTGAAACCAAATGTCAGAGCCTCTCATTGCAACTAGAAACATTTTAGCTGTAACCTCCTGTGTTGGAAATATTAAGATATAACTCAGATTTTGATAGGTCGTGGTTACTTTAATGGATTGTTTTTAAAATAATAATAGCTGGTCCAATTAAAATTATACAATTTCTGTTGTGTTGTGGGAAACACAAGCAATGACTGTCTACTAATACTCATTGTCAAATGACCTCGCGCCAATTGTACTGAGTCGGTGTGGCGAGTTTTAATCAAACAGCTAAAATTCAACAATTTATTAAAGCTGAGAAACAGTCACAAGAGAAAAGAACAATGAGTGCAAAATGACACTTTCTAAAGCACTTCCAATAGGGCTTCAACTTTCGTGTGTCCGACTTTCAGGCCTTCTCGCGACAAACAGGCAAACATGTGTATCGCGGTATATTGTGGCGTGAGTTTCTGGACAATGCACGTATCCATCAATTCGTCTACTCTGCTCGGATCCTTCTCGTGATGTTGAATCCGTTCCCTAATCGTTGCTAAGTTAAGGTTTCCATCCGCGTCTTGCAGTTGAAGATGCTGCGCCAGACAGAGTAAGAAATCTCCAGTGTTTTCGGGCACTTGCGTAAGCCGTTGGTGGTTTCTAACTTTGGTTAAAACTTCTTCGTCGATATGAGTCGCTGGAGATTCTTGGCATTTGAAGAAGGCGGAGTGAAACTGCTTTAATTTTTGAATATCCTCGTTGGTGTAGGCCTGAGGAAATAAATTGTTGTCAAGACAGTACGACACATATAGTTATTAGATAGGTATTAGAAAAGGTATGGGTCCTTAGCGCATGCGTCACCCCTGAACTGACTGAGTTCGACATTGTCGTAGTTCTTCTGGAAAATTGCTCAATTTTTAGAAAAACGCAACGCCAATTTTTGAAATCCGGACTAAATTGGCAAGGTCGAGTAAAATAATTACGATGGTAAAAGAACAGTTTTGTACCCTGCGCTATTGTACTTTTTTCGTATTTTTGTGATAAAAATGTCTACCCCTTGGAAAACTTGTGTTTGTGCTCAATACTGTAAGGGGGTAACAACGGGTAAGTTGCGTTAGGTGCAAGTTAATTTAAAACGTTTAAAGGTGGTTTATATAGGACTCCTATTTGCAAACTTGTATAATTTGTACTTGCAATACTTTACATGCCAATTTGCTAAACAGAATTCCATATCTTTTTAGGTATGGTCTGTTCATAGATATAAGAAAGTGACCAATTGCTTTTGAATGGGATTATCCAAGGGTGGTTAATAACATACAATGCAACAAGATTATTACCTAAGGTTTCGGAATTTAAATTCAGGTAAAATTGTCGTCCGTAATAGAAAATAATTTTACACCTACCTGTGTTTAATATCCATTGGTTTGGTATACTACTTAGTTTAATTTTATTAGTAGTCATTCTTATTTCGTGTGTAATACAGCGTGTGTTGGATCGTGTGCGAATTATACAAAATATGTGCGAGTCTAGTGTATCTTAGGAGATGCTCCCGCCCAAATGTAGAAAACACTATTCTATTGAGACTAAGGAAGTTATAAACAATGTGTATTTGACTCTCATTGAACATGGTGCCAGCATCTTTAGAAGGAACGGCCACATTGACGAAAACTCCAACATCAACTGTATGAAAAATTGTGAATAATCCCATTTCAGCGAGGAAAAAAAGAAGCGATGCTGACATTTTCTCGAGTGTAGATGAAAGTGATCAAGATGTAATACGGCGTAAAATTTACATTACGTGCTTATATTAGATATCTTAATTAGGAGGCTTGAAAAAGATGAAACCGGTGTTAAATGTATCAGAACTACCTTATGGAAGTGAATTTAACAGATGGGTTTTAGATTTAAAAAAATTGACAAAAGGCAACTTTTAATAGAATCTTTTAGAATTCGGAAATGGCGACTGGAATACCTAGAAAAAATTACGATTTACGGGGAACAACAAAGGCCAATCATTTACTTGGATGAGACCTGGTTCGACACTTATGATACCCCGGAAAAGGCTTGGGTTGACTCAACTGATAAAAATAAACGCGCCATCAACAAGAGGTAAAAGAATAACTATTTTGCATGCTGTCTCTAGAGATGGTTTGATTTCAAATGGACTTTCTCTGTCTGCGAAAAATATTAACGATTCTTCTCTGGATTTATTTGAAAGTTGGTTTAAAAACAAACTAGTTCCGAACATTCCTCCTAATAGCGTCATTGTTATGGATAATGCAAGTTATCACAGTAGACAGTTGACTAAAACCCCTTCCTCATGTGACACAAAAGCAACAATCCAAAACTAGATGTGTAATAACGACATTTATTTTCACGAAAATTATACCAAAAAGCAATTAATTAAGGTTCTACAAAGCTGGAACCTACAAAAGGAATACGTCTGTGATAATTATGCAAAAAAATCTAGGGCATACAGTTTTACCACTGTATATTTAATCCCATTGAACATGTTTAGCACCAACTGGAATCTGCCATTCGTCGTAACAATGTTTTTCCCAGTGTTAACCGAAGTTTTTAACATCCCTCCACAAAGTTGGGCAAATTCTGTTAAACATATAGAAAAAGTGGAACAACCGTATATCCAAATTGTAAATAATATAGAACAAATAATAATTAGAACAGGCGATGATAGCGATAGTAGGTAATAAAAATAATTTGTAATTTTATTTTAGATTTAAACATAAATACATACATAAATAAATAAATATTGTTTAGTATCTTCTGAATTCGTATCAGTTAGTCACTTTCTTATATCTATGAACAGACTTTACCCTTAAATAGCTACAGGAAGGATGTTTACTAGTGTGGAAACTACTGACTTTGTACATCTGGATTGGATGACTGGATAACTTGGGAAGAAGAGATCTTTATTTGTCTCTGCCTACTTTCCCAACCGTTGATTGCTCGAGAGTAAACTATGTTTTTGACTTGTAAGTATTATCTTGTGTAAATAACCATTTAGTGCAACTTTTTTGTTTATATTGCAATAAGCATTTTTAGAAATTTGTCATGGCAAATTTTGTGTTTCTATGATTATATTTTGAAGACACCTTTTTACGAAGAATTTAATGTTATAGGTTCAATAGATTTTGATTTGCATGTTGCGGTTTTTATTTGACACATCCACCTACGTTTGAATTTAAAGTCTTTGAAGGATTTAAAGGAGTGAAACCTTCACAGGATTTCTATTTTTTATTTTATATTTGAAACCAACCAGGCAATTTCGTTGCTGTGGCTTTCTGTGCCGGAAATATTAAGATTTAACTCAAACTTTCATAGATTGTGGTTACTTTAATGGGGTGTTTTATCCTGGATGTTCATATCTTTCATTGAAAAGAAGAAAATTAAATGAAATAGCCTGAACTTTGAAAATACAAATATTTGCATTTAAAATAGCGTACCTATAATTGAAAAATAAATAAGAACTAAAAGTTCAGATTTTCAGGAAATTTCGTGAAAATCTGAACTGTTAGTTCTTATTTATTTTTATAAATGGATTTTCATCAAGTAAACCACCTCAGTTCAATTTTTGAAAAAGGCTGAAATTGGTTTCTTGGCTATTTGGTATTTTAAATTGCTTCTACGTTGCCGAATATGTAAAAAAAAAATCGTGAAAATCTGAACTTTTAGTTCTTATTTATTTTGATAAATGGATTTTCATCAAGTAAAAGTTCAATCAGTTCAGTTCAATCCTATAATTGAATTTAAATTCAAAGTGAAAGTACCGACTTTTATTATTTTAAAAGAAAATATCATTTTTTGTAAAACCAAGACTGTCGCCAAGTGGATGCTTTTGTTTTTAATACTTACTTAATTAAAAAAAAAACGTAATATTCTTAAATAATTTACTGCAAATATTTTTGAAATTTTTAAGGAGAGCATAAATATATTATGCATTATACATACAATGTTTTGTATGCACGCTATTGATACTACTGTGGCTGTCACAAATGTAGAAGCTTGAAAGGTATGCTTTTAACTGTGAACTAAGTATCATTTTTATTCTTGTCCATTCCACATTATGCAATAAACGTTTAATTATATTTTGGTTGCTTTTAAAACACATGTATTTAAAGAAACTAAATATATTATTTTTTCTTTATTCCCCCTTCACTTGTTTCATTTGGCAAGTAATTCGCTATGTTAATTACGTTTATATAGAACTATTTACACACCGTAGCAATAATTTCAATTTAGAAAATATGTGAAAAGTGCGCATATAACATCAAATACAATTTATTTTACATTTGTATACATTTTATAGTTTATTGAAACTATAACTGAGGTATGTAGATATTTTTATGGAAAATATTTATTGATTGGTTCTTGATTGACCTTGTTGAAACTTTGAACAAAATTATAAAAAATTTTATATGTTAAGCAGCCTCAACTCAAGAATATTATATTTATAATTCAATTTATATTCGAATATGTAAAAATTCCTAACAACTTTATCATAGCCCAAGAGGAAAACCAAATGCTTTGCACACAGAAAAGTGCAAAATAAAAATACGTGTTTATAAATAGATACCGATTTTTGATTAATAAAACAAAAATAAAATGCTATTTACAAATCTTCTGGATTCCTATTACGTCGCTTGTTTTAAATCAAACTTTATGACGTTTCGGCAGTCCTCCTGTTGACTTCTTCAGACAGTAACTGAAACTGTCTCAGTTTAGTTGAGTAGTTTCGGTTAAGCTCTAAAGAAGCGTCAGGAAGCTGGATTTATAAAGAAGAATTGTAAATTGTATTACAGTAACATGTGAAAGTCTCTTTCAAAAACAAAGCGTATGGTAAAAAGTAACATTTTCTTTAACACAAATGTTAGATAAGTTTTGAACTGGGTTCAGTACTACTAAGGATGGAGGGATAGAACTGCCGAATCGTCTGCGTCGATAAAACGAAAGATTTTTTTCTATAAATCCATCATTTTCTTAATATGTAAGGAGAGCCTATGAATTTTTTTTTTTGATATTTTAACTGCTACAACTTACCAAGGAGGCGACAAAAACACTGCACAAAACAAATATAACACGCATTTTTTATGTTATCTTGTACGTTTGAATTCTATATAATAAATATTCTTATTGGAGCGAATAAAATGCTTCTCTCTATTTGAGATTAAAAACGCGGTATAAGAATACGACGCAGTAGCGCTTGTAGTTATGCATTTGCTGAGGAAAAACCCGATATGTGAAATCTATTCAATTTACATTTTAGTATACGGAATGGACCCAGTTGCTTACGAACGCTTTGGTTTCACCTACATAGATTGAAGCAATTTTCTTTAATTTCTGTATTTTGAGGGTGATAAAACACTTAGTTCACAATAAATAATTAAAGTTGGAATCGCCGCCGGGTATTTCTTACAAAATTCGCATCGTATGTCTCGGTTTTTAAGTATTTAATGGTCAATTTTGTATTTGTATATTGTAATATTAATTTTTTTTTTATTAAATTCACTTTAAATTAACCTAAAACTCTAAAATAACAAAACCTATTACCGTAAAATATTAAAATTTACATATTGTTGGGCAGACTTTGATAGATGACGACATATATTGTGGCCCAAAAAACAACCTGCTGCATCCATAAGCATTTCTACACATTCCTCGTCATATTCGACAAAAATTTGTCCAAATTTGGCATTTTCTTCAAAATTAGGGTCGGCAACACAAACTTTTTGTTTTTGGTAAGGTAGTTAGAGATATTTTTCAGACTGTGTGATATCTTTGCTTTAGCTACAGTCCTACCTTCTTAAACTTTACATTTAATAATTTTCTTTCTACTAGTTTCAATACTTCTTCCAATTTTCTCCCTCGTAACATTGCTCCGATTACCGAAACTTTTGTAACACTAAGAACCTGATTTACGAAAGAACCACCACTTTTTTACAATAGGCCGTAAGTTATACCAAAGACGAGACGCAGACTGTTCCGTGGTCTACATTGCAGCTTCAGAGGAGATATCGACGATCATTTGCTGGGAACAGAAGTTAAAAAGTTATGAGCAATCAAATGTCCCAAAAAATTTTCCATATCAGTTCCCAGATAGTAGACAATATCCCCAGTGTATCCGGGCAATGTGCCAAGTCCATTTCTAGGGACATCTGGAGGATTTTCTTAAGATATACGTTAGCATATAACTAAGAATATACTGTAAAATACATCCCAGGGATATCCTCTCCACGGATAGCTTGCGGATTTACTGTACGCGATATACCACAGATATCCTCTAAATAAACGGGCAGAGGATATCCTGTTGCGCCATAATGGGAACATTAGAATAGAAATAAGGGAAAAAAGTGAAGAAAGGTAAAACAAAATGAAACCCAAACAGTTAAATGTTGAATAACTGAGAAGGAAAATACTTAGTTTGTTTAGATTTGCGGTGTTTTGGGAGACATTTTATTAGCAACGTTTTAGTGCACATCTACATCGACGTGAGTGACTAAAAAAAAACATGAATCAAACCTTTAAAATCAAATTCCTTTTATTATCTTTGGTCACAATGGAGACAAGGAACGCTTTTTTAATGAAAATACCATAGGAAATACGGGTTCATCTAAGTAAAGAAATTAAAAAAACGTCAAAATAATATATTTGCTTATAAGGTCCCGTTTGGCAAAACTGCTCGGCTGCAACCAATGACGCAACTATTCGCGGTCGTGCTGTGAAGGGCTCGCTCGAGTCTCGTCGGCTTCTCCTTCCTCTCGTCGTCCGCCATCTTTTCAGCCTTGTTTTTGTTGGCGGTATACGGTATACGGCGACTTGGCGTCCATTTTGAGTATTTGCTTACTGCTTTCAGAGCTTTCATTTAAGGAGGAATTTAAGGAGAAATTTTCAAAACTAAAATTGACGAAATTAATATTTGATTAGTTGTTACTTTCTTAAAGGAGTCGTTGCTGAACCAAGTAAGATAAAACTGACTTTTTTGTAATCTATAAACCTATATTGTACGTTTTAGATAACATATCTTTTTTGATTATAGATTTCTTTTCTTACCTGATTGCTTTGTTTTTGAATACAAAAATGTTCATGTTAGAGAAAATGTTAGAGAAAATCCCCCAGAGCAGAATTATATTTTTAATTATATAGTATAGTTAGTATAATTTTTTCTTAAAATGGATGCTAGAATGAGCTCCCAAAAACAAAGTATCTATTAATTTTAGGAATCACTCCGGGTAAAGTACAATTTTCACATTAAAATGTTTGTTGGGTTAATTCATGAAAACGTTTTTCCTATTTTTTAAGACTTGTTTTCATGATGATACCAGGTACGTCACGAGCAAAAAGAATGGGAACTTTTTTAGGTTGACGAAAAATATTACATGAAAATGCTTTTACCGTCAAACTCTCATGAATTAGATCTTACCGATGAAAGTTTAATGAGTTTTGTATTTAATGAAATGAAATACATAAAAGATCACTTTCATGAGAGTACTATCAGCGTCAAATCAAGCCTTTACGTATAAGGTGGATGTAAAGATTTTTTTAATCTGTTTTTTAAACATATAAGATGCCAGTCTTGTTTTTTTTTATTTTTTTTTGTATAAAGAACAGATATATTTAAACTTGTCTTTCCCAAAACTAAAATATTTTCAGATACGGACAAGAAGCCAAACGCACATCACAAACATTAAAAAATGCGGGAATTCAATAGCTGCTTGGCTGAAAAGAGCTACTTTCACCAAAGAATGACAGAAAACCTGGGAAATAATAGTTATTCTCTTGAAGTTTAGTTGAAGATATGGTATATTAGTCTATATTTAAGATACTTTAGGTTAGGTTGTTCTATATTTCATACCTAAAATTTTTTCATATTTACAATAGAAAAAAATGCGTATAAAAGGTGTTTTATTAATGGTATCAATCGGCAGTCCTTCCCTTTTACAATCAAAAGCAAAATTAAAAATTAAATATTGCCTTTGATCACACGCGAGTACCAAATAGTGGGATAGATTTTTGTAGTCGTACAACCAATCGGACTACTGGACATTACCTTTCCACTATTTCTCATAAGCTGTTGGAAATCACCTAATTAGTAAGATCCTATACGCTTACAGTCGGATGTACTAACAACATCTCAACTAGTATAACTGGATATCCCTAGTATGTCCTAACAAACATCCTACGGAAATACGTATCTGATATATTGTGGACGTTTCAATTAGTAGCATCGTATATTGAGAGGTCTTAAGGAAAAAGGATTAGGTGAAACAGTATATCTGTAGAATATACGCTATGTCCCGTCAGATATCCCGGACGACCGTCCTTGTGCTATTCGAGTTGATGATATCGTTAAGGTTATAATATTTCAGAAGGTGACTTTTCGAAGAATTCTCTACAACTTCATGGAAAAAAAGTACGCCTTCTTTGTCAGAACACAGTTCCTCTTCAGCTCTAAGGTTCCGAAGAAATAAAAACTTTATTGAGCTCCCAATTTTGGATAATTTTCTCTTAGCTCAGTAACAAGCTACTTCTACGAGGCTACAGAAACAACGCAATGGCGTGTTTATTTTAACCTTAAACTTAATAAAACAGCATAAAAATATTTAGAGTAGTTCAACTTAATAAAAAAGCAAAAACTAAAAATATTGCAATCAATAAAAAAAAATTGATGCCACCATAAGTGTATATGTAACAACTTAATAAGTCCTCATCTTTTTTTTTTCATGATTTTTTATTCTTTGGACTTGAACCACCCTACTGCAGAATCTAAATACCAATCTCTTCCAGATCTAAAATATTTAAATTGAGAATTAATTTTATTTTTAGCCTTTTATAGAGACATTTAATTTACCGTAAAATTCTAAATTTTACTGATGAAAAACACACAGATATAATTTCAGAAAAGTGAAGCAATTTAATATCAATGTATACAAAATTGGCATAAAATAATAGTAAAATAACAGTAAGTTAAGAGTTGGACTGTAAAATTAAATGAAATCTTAAATTAAATTTCTGTATAAACGCCACCATCAAATCCCAATTATCGGACTTTTTAAATTAATTAAAATATATGTTCCTATCCGACTGGAATCCTGCAGACGTTTCGCCAAAATCTCACTTGGCATCTTCAATGCTCGCGCTCCGAAAACACTTCGAACACTGGGAGGTTATCGGCGGTGCGTGCGGTATTTATACTCAGCGCCGGAGTGGGAACGGTGCTGCTTGTGCGTGGGGGGAGGTGGCTCCGCCCCCTGAATTGTCGCGTTGTTAATTTCGCCCGATCGTAGTTGCGATGTCCCCGTTGGCTGCTGCGCATCGCTCTGCTGTTTGATTATCGTTCTCCAAGTGTTGGATAAATGCAGAGCGTCGTCTCTCGTATTGAGGTGTCCGGACTTTTCTATTTCGATGGCCTCTGGTATAATCCTAGTCCTAAAATCAGGAATATTAGCTATTTGTTTGCAAGTGCCGAAATCAATTTTATGGCCTGTCTGATGTTGGTGCTGAAACAAAGCAGATGTTGTTTGTTCGTTTCTTATGGCTAAACAATGTTCCTCGAGCCTGGCTGAAATCCTTCTATTGGTCTGTCCCACATACGTCAGGCTGCACGATCCGCACGCTACACTGTATACTCCTTGGTTTTCCAGAGTAATTTTTTGTTTTGGGTTTCTTAGTATTGCTCCGATGGTATGGTCAGGTTTGTATGCCGTTGATATGTCGTGTTTCCGTAATATTCGGCCGATTTTGTCAGTAACCCCCTTGATGTATGGCAGGACAGCGATCGATCTTCGTTGGGTCTCGTCCTGCACTCTCTGCTGCGGCTGTTGTTGTTTACTGATTGCCTTGCTGATGGTGCGTCTTTGGTATCCGTTTTGTCGAAGACAGGTACAAATTTTCTTCAGTTCTTTATCTCTGTTCCTCTCGTTTGTGAGCCTGAAGGACCGAGCAATTAATGTATTTGCCACTGCCTGTATCTGTGATGGGTGGTGATGAGATTTAGCGTTCAGATATCTATTGGTGTGTGTTGGTTTTCTATAGACAGTGTGTTCCAAGTGCCCAGCTTCCGTCCTTGTGATGTGCACATCTAAAAAGGGCAGACTGTTATCCTCTTCAAGTTCTATTGTAAATTGAATCATCAACGTATCTTGTACATAGTTTTGGCTTCAGATTTGCCTTCTCTATTGCTTTCTTTTCGAAGTAAATCATGAAGAGGTTGGCAATCACAGG